TGAATGATTGAATCTGACAAACTGCAATGATATGAGTTTATTTCCATTTTTGAAACTTTATTACACAATACACGATAACAAGTTTACCATCATTTTTACATATTCAACTAACAATATTGTAAAGATGCAGGAAATGTCAAACAAACACTTTTACGTATCTTATTAGTTCAGTAATGAGACTGTTAACATTGCCTAAGAGTTGAATCTGATGCAATGTGAAAAAACAGCTTTACTTTTAAAATAATGCCCCGATTATACTATTTCGAACTCAACCTGCGTTTTAGTAAGATTGACCACTCCTGTGAGTTTAATGACAATTGGCCCATCTGTTTTTCTTATATTGTGTTTACGGTGTTGCATATATGCTGAAAAATGAAAAAACAGCATAACTACTAAAATAGTGGCCTAATCATGCCGATTTTCGAACTTGACCTACATTTTAGTAAGATTGATTATTCCTGTGAGTTTCATGACAACAGGCCTAACAGTTTGCCTTAAAATGTGTTTACAGGGTTGCATATATGCTGAAAAGTGAAAAAACAGCATAACTTCTACAATAATGGCCCGATCATGCTGATTTTCGAACTTGACCTGCGTTTTATGAATATTCATCAGCTCTGTAAATATAAAGCCAAAAAGTAAAACTGCCCTCCACTTATCGTGTTTACAAGGAAAGTGCACGGCGACGGCGACGGCGAGGCGACGACAGACGCAGGTGATGGCAATATGTACAGACACATCTGTGTCTGTACATAAAAATGGGCAAGGCGTGGTTCCTAAACAACTGCATCTCAGTATGGACCATTATGAGTTTTAAGAAACAACTAATAAGCCATCATGTCAATGCAGTAAATTTGTGTCAAATATTCTATGGAGCCTTGCAATGGAGGTGCTGTTTTATTTTTAGTCGAAACTGTTTCCCCCACTCCAATGCTTTAGTAGTATTCACAGGGTAAAAATATAGCCCAAAACATCTTCAGTTCACATGCTTATTGACAATTGATTACAGGGCGCTGTACTTACCACAACTTCCTGTAGAACCTCTGCATTTTCGCGTTTAATTCTGATCTCTTTCTCGTACGTGGTGTCCACATCTGAGTGCACTTCACACTGCAGGTCCACAGTGGAGGAGTGGGTCTTGGCAGCATACTCTGCTAAAGCATGGAGAGCCACCACTGTGTCCTGTAGGTATGCCATATAGACATTATAATATAGTGCAATACCATGTGGATTAAGCTACATACAGTTGTCTTATATTCCTTATTTAAGATATCTCAGTGTGAAGTAAAGTCAAAGAATTAATTAATGGATAAAGGAATGAATGATGTGATCAATAACAATTATGACATGTTTACTGACAACTGTTTGTGAAAAAGAAAAAGTAAAACATACGTGTGCTTTATTAGTTCAACATGCGGGGGCATCTCGAAAGTCCGAAAGGTTCATTGGTCCAAAAAATGCTAACATTTTCATCAGGTTTTTAATCAAGGGTCCATTGGTCCAAAGGTTCTTTAGTAAACATTCCAATGAACTTTCAGACTATTGCTACGGCCCCACAATACCATGTTGGTTAAGCTACTTATAGTTGTCACATATTTCTTATTTAAGATATCTCAGTGTGAAGTAAAGTCACAGAAATGGATAAAGGAATGAATAATTTTATTAATAACAATTACGACATTGTTTTTGAAGTGAACCAAGTTTTTGTGTAAGGCCAAATAAAATTTTTGAAAAAGAAAAGGTATTATTAATATATGTGGGCATAATAAGTTCAGCATACAATCAAGATGCATTGTTTTGTAAGAAGGTTTCATCTTTCCTTACAGAAATGACCTTACTGCATTGCAACAAGCCAGGTGTCTGCCATTCAAACCTGCTACATTTTTTCACTTACTTGTGTTGACACAAACTCTCCTTTCTTCCCTCTTTGTTCTGTCAGCCACATCACGACTGGGTTGCTGAATGTGATATCTTCAGACAGCATCTGGGTGAGGAGAGCATAAGATGCCGTCTCCACTGCAATGGCGGAGGGGTTGTGTTTGTACTGGTATGGGATGTAGTCCCCTTCGTATCTGGAGTAAGTGTCCACTTCCCAGTACCTGTGGTTCTTAACTAGAAAATAAATAAATAAATAATTGATTAATTAATTAAAAATAATCTGATAACTTCTAGTGCAAAAACTATGACTGAAATTACTTGTAAGTCTGCTATGAGCATGTGAAAATGGAAGCTAGCACCCCCCCCTTCCTCTCCCTTGAGAAACAGACTGTTCGCAATTAGAATGGGGAGGGGGGGTGGGAGGGCTAGCTCGATAACATTGTTTTGCACTAAAAGGTGACAAACTGTGTTTCCTTTGTGTTTTCTAACAGTGCACAATAACATTCAGATTCTTAAATGAATGAATACATTTTAAGATGCATATTGGAGATGCATAAAAGGCTGTCTACTTCAAATTAATTCAACTTCTCATCCAATTAAAAAATCAAATACATAGTATTTTAATACTTGACTACTAATAATATAGTGTACGTCAGACCAAGGAGTTATAACAGAAGGAGATTACACGCAAGCCTCTCTATTGTCCGATGTCTGTTACGGTGGGCGGAGCTAGCTACGGGGGGCCTCCTGTCTCAAGGTTTCGTCTGGGTCGCTCTCCTCCGCTCGGAGATTGATTTTATATGCGTTATTTCGCCTTAGAATTCGAAATCAGTAGTGTCAAAGCGGCGCTGTATGCTGACGATTTTTTTCACAGGTAGTTATTTGGACGATGTGCTGGGAGGGAACGATATCATAGAAAGCGATTTTAAGGTGGTGACTGAGGATGGTCGCCATGAGTTTTTTTGAGTCGGTGATAGATGGCTTTTCTTTTGCACAACACAGTGAAAAATCACCAAGGATAAGTCAAAAGAAAACGTCCCAACTGTGGTTTGTGAAAATGACATTCAAGTGAACGTCTGTCCTCACTGCCAAAGAACATAATATTAATACATAAACGTTTGGACCCTCCTGCCCTTGGGTCCCATAAACATATACATTGAGACAGTGCCTAAGCTTTGTGACTGCATGGTTTTAAATTTCTTTAAGTATTTTTTTCTCTCACTCGGTATAATTTTAATATCCTAATGCATTGAAGTGAAATTTTAATCAAAGGTTGAAGCAATGCCACGACATGTCAATTTACTAAATACT